ATTAGGCTCTGCGGCAGGTGCCTCTCTTTAGCCCTGCTGCTGCCTCTTGGTTTGGAGGTTGCTGCTGCCGCCCCCCAGGCTGCTTTCCTGGCTGGATGCTCCAGGTTTGTCTTGTCCCTGGCTCCCAACTAGCCCTAGGTGCTCCTGTAGCCCTGGCCCTGCCCTGCTCCTTGCCTTGGGAAGGGTTGCATGGGGCTTGGCAGGGGAGGCTCTGCTGGCTGGACTCTTTCTTTGCTCTTTCTGTGCTTTTTCTTGGGTCCTTGTTGCTCTGATAAATGTCTTCTTGGATGGTTGTTGATTATAGTAACCACAGTTAACGATCTGAGTAAGGTCACACTTTACTGATAGAAGTAAAGGTTCTCTTTAGACTTTTCTTGTGACTTGAAAGGAAATATTGGAACATGTATTGGAACACTTTTCAAGTGTTATTTGAGTGCTTGAAGGCTATTTAAACAGGCCAGGTTGGTTAGTGTATTAAAAAGTATCAGTGCTGGTGACATGTAAGAACAGATGCCAGCAGCATAAACAACATTGGGGGGGTGGGGAGGCAGTAGAAGGTGAGGAGAGCTCTTTCTTTGGCAGTTGTCCTCTTTCATTCGCGAGTGTTTCTTCCTAATCATCCTTTGGAAATTAACCTGGACTGACCTTGGTTTTTGTAGTGGTTTAAGGAACTTGCCCATCCAATACTACTGTCTTGTTTCGGAGGAAGACTGATAGTGCTCTGCTGTAAGACACCTGTGTGAGCAGGCTGCCAAACAATCTATTTACAGGCAGATGTTAGTAACACACACGTGTCTAGAGCTAGTGATGGTGCATTGTGAGTCCTGGTACCCTGGTGAAGATCAATAGGGTTATTGCTAGACCTGCTGAGGTGGAAAACGAAACTCCAAGAGCAAATCTGTGCTTGCCCACCAAAACAGCAAGAGGGAGGTAAGACGGCTACTGCCTATGTAGCATGGGCTGTAATATGCACAGATGGAGATGTCCTTTGCAAAACATACGTCTTCCCAAGTGATCCTCCTGTGCAGGACCTTGGGGTATGCCCTGGTGTGATTAGCTAAGTTAAGCGGGCAGGTCACAGTCACCTTACTGTGGGTTTTTACTTTCCTGTGATAGAACAACAGTTGTCCTGTAAGCCGGCAGTCAGTGAAGAGCTAGACATAGCAAACTGTTCCTGAAGTTATTTGTTGTGTCATCAAGTGTTCAAGTATATATTAAGCAATAGATTGGTTGGGGGGAAAAAAAAAAAAAGTAAGATATGTGTGATAGTAATACTGTGCGGTCCTTATAACAGGACCTTAAAATGTTATCCTAACTTCTAGGTGCCACTGGCTAAGCTCTGTGGCAATACAAAGACACTGAACAGCTGTGTGTTTTATATGAACACGGCGATACCTCGAACCTGGCTTGCTGTCTGTAGATGTATTCTCTCTTCAAGTTTTATGCAGAATGTGCATTAGTTTCCATAGGGATGTCTGGGCAGAACTGGGAGGGGGAAGTGAGCAAGAAAGCTCCTGCATGGTGCAGTATAACTTTGGCCTATAGACTTTACTGAAGTCGGTATCAGAGTGTGAGGAAATGCCACAGACTATGAGGATTTCTTGTAGCATAGGGTAGCAGAGGCAATAAAGAAGAAGAGGGGAAATAAGTTTGTGGTTTTTTTGTTTGTTTTTCAGTGACTAGATAGCTCTAAAATAAGAATGTTGATTAAGAGGTTTTTCCCTTCTTCCTCCAAATTCTGCAGGCCTTTTTAAATTCTCATTCATTATCAAATACACTGTATTCAATTATGTCAGCACTGAATGGGAGTAAGAATAACTAGTCCAGGAGCCAGGAACTTCCTCTGGTCCACCAGGGCAATCGCATCTGGGTCCTGTGTGGAAATGAAATCACTCCTCTCTTAGTAGGATGTAGTAACAAAATTGTGTCTTCATGCATATCCAAACAACATTACTGAGTTGGAATGAGTTGAACACATTATCTCACTACTACTGATCCAATATCTCATTCAGCTTGGAGCATTTGGGAAGAGGCCTTCCCGTAGAGGAGAAAGGGTATTTCTCTTTCGGTAATGACCTGGGGAACTCTCTCTTAATGAAGACTTAGTGTGCAACTTAAAACTAGAGCAATTCTCAACAGAGTTAGCAAATAGGAGAATCAATAATCAATTTCAAATTTGCTTTCTGCCATTAGGTTTACATGCGTTATCTAATATAGACAGACCTGAGGGATCCTCTGTTAATATCTCATTTTGCTTTTTGGGATTTTGTGTTACTTAACCTATTATTCCTACCAACACAAAACAAGAGTATGTGACTACTTTGTATTACGAGTTGTTAAAGTTTTTTGTCTCTG